GGTGTGAAATGTGACGGAACATTAACGGAATAATAGGAGATTTGACTCGGAAGTTAGTTTTCCGTCCAATTGAAACCTTATTTGAGAATTTTGTGGAGTTTGGTACCTTCATTGAGCACAATTGAAGTTTGGGTCCGAAATTGTGAATTTGGTGTAAGTTTGGGTCCTTATGTCATATTTTGCCTATTATTAACGGACAATAATATAAGGATAATTTTTTTTTACTATTTTTTATGTAAATTTCACGTGTCATTAAATAATTGAATGCGTTTAATATCACAGATTTAAAATAAAAAAAAACTAATTATTTAAATTATACCTTAAGTTATACTAAAAAATAGTAAAAAAATTATCTTTAAATCGTTTTCCATTATTAATTACCTCCCTTTCATGTTTACCCTTCACAAAGTCTCTCCCTAGTGCAACTGTTCCTTCTTCTTTATTGGAGGAGAAAGTGTCCATGAGAATACTTGAACCATTAATATATTTTTCAATAGCTACCTGCGCAATTTATCGATCTCTGCAATTAAAAAACAAGGAAATCAATCTTTGCAATGCAATTTTGACCTTTTTCCAGCATTGTTGTTTTCGATTGAGCTCCTCTGTTTCTCTGTGATCAATCCTTTTTCGTATTCAATTACATGTTTACAAAAGCATTTATTTACTCAATTAGGTTTTTCGTCGACTATTAATTAAATTTTTTTTCTAAAATTTGAACAAAATTTCATGATTTGGTTGCTTGATTGTATATCTGAATACCTTTCACATTTGATTTTGTTATCAATTTACAAAGAACCAAGTAGCTATAATCTAGTATAAGTAAATTTAAATTTGTGAATAAAATTTAAAAGTTTGAAATTGGTCAAAAGAATTAAGTGCTAACAATGATGAAAACCTATCTAATGCAACGCAGGATTAAGCAAAGATCAAACGTCGGTAAGATCGAGATTTTACCTAAAATCGAAAAGGGGAGGTAAAATCATAAATAAGATCGTAAGATTCTAACAAATTTTTGTGTGTTTATATGATTAATAAAAATAAATATAAACTATGTAAATATCATAAAATAAATTGTTAAGGTTGTTTAATGATGAAATAAGTTTAAAATAAATTATTTAAAAGTTTAAATACAAAGTACTTAATAATTTATAACATAATTTAATACTTAAATATGTAAAATCAAATAAAAAAGATAATAAAAATATGAATAATTATTAATAATAATTGTTATTATTAACATGAAAGATAAAATTACATTTTAAAAAATCAAAAAAATTAAAAGAAATCAAAAAAGTTAAAAAATTAATTATATAAAATTATTAATAAAATTATCATATAAATAGTA